TAAATTACTGAATTTATTTAATGATAAATAATTTTAAAAAATATATATTTTGCATTGGTTCAGATTTTTTTATCACTTCGATGTCCGTGCCAAATACTTTTTCATTTTCTATTTTTCTCAAGGTGGTCCCAGTCCCACTCCTCATGTTACATGAGAAGTCTCTTCTCCTAACACTCTTACTTCAATGGTCGTGCTAGCTACTTTTTTATTTTCAATTTTTTGGAGATGGGCCCCATTCCTTTCTCTTTCAATAAGAAAACTTCATTTTCTTATGCAATGTGAGAAGTTGTAAGCCCTTATACCAAGGGAAAAAGACTTCTCATATTGCATGAGAAATCTCTTCTCCTAGCACTCTCACTTTGATGTCTATGCCAGCTTCTTTTTATTTTCTATTTTTTTTTCAAGGTCGGCTCTACTCCTTTCTCTTTCAATAGGAAAACTTCATCTTCTCATGCAATATGAGAAGTTGCAAGCCTTTATGCTAAGGGGGACAAAATTCTCATGTTGCATGAGAAGTCTCTTCTCCTACTATTCTTATTTCGATGTCCGTATTAGCTACTTTTTTATTTTTTACTTTTTTATTTTTTCAAGGTGAGTCTCACTCATTTTTCAGTCGAAAACTTCATCTTCTCATGAAACATAAGAAGTCACGAGCCGTTATACTAATCATATCAAATATGAAAAAATACATACTAAATATCCAAATTTTAAAGTTTTTATTAAAATTTAATGTTTAGGGTTTAGTTTGTATATAAAAGAAGGGACATGATATTGTGACGCCCAAATAAAGTTACGACCAATGTTACGACCAATCATCTCACCGTTAGATTGGTAGTAGCGATCCGATGGTCCTCATTGGTCTCTTAAATAGCCCCTATATTCGTTTCTCTCCCCCCCCTTCTCTCTCTGTTCTCTTCTCTCTCCTCGTTGATAACCATACACTTATCTGCCACTGCCCGCCGTCGCTCATATCCTCTGTCCCGATGTCCAATACATACTAATCTCTTCTCCTAGCACTCGTCCGCGGGATGCAGCGGCCGCGCCGTCGGACGTCGGGACAGAGGATATGGGCGGCGGCGGGCGGTGGCAGAGTGTATGGTTATCAATGAGGAGAGAGAGAAGAGAACAGAGAGAGAAGGGGGAGAGAGAAACGAATATAGGGGCTATTTAAGAGATCAATGAGGACCATCGGATCGCTACTATCAATCTAACTGTGAGATGATTGGTCGTAACATTGGTCGTAACTTTATTTGGGTGTCACAATATCCTGTCCCATAAAAGAATATATAAAATAATATAGTGTTTAGGGTTTAGAAAAATATAAAAGGAAATATAAAAATGTATTATTTGATTATGTATCAGTTTACTTAATTTAAATATTTTAAAAATCAGACAAAAGTCGCTTAAATATTTTAATGCAATTTTTAAATCATTACTCGATCTGTTAATCATGGAGCAAGTGAGAACAGATGAGTGGGCCTAGCATCTGGGAAGCTATTTATGATAACTGTGCTGCCCAATCGTTTGTTCCATATTCTGTCCCCACTGGGCTGTGCCCTCCATTCTTTATTTTTATTTTAAAAATTTAATGTCCAGAATCCTGATGCTCTTTTACACCAAATAAATAAAGATATTAATATTTTTTATATTATAGGAGATAATTTTATTTCCTAAACATATGTAAAAGTGAGTGGGATCCATGTTATATGAAAAGAAAAGAGAAAAAAATGAGTTCCACATATTTTTATGTGTATATAAGAGATAAATTTTATTTCCTATAAAATAAAAAAAACTAAACCCATAAATAAATAAAAAATGCTTCTTAATCTGACTGTGGGCAAGAACGACCTATACAAGATATGACATATCCCAATTTTTTTTTGGTCTGTTTTACCTTGCTTTTTTCGGCGTATTTATTCACATTGCATATTTTAAAAAAAAAAAATCACACGACCAAGGTTGTATAAAATTTTAACATAAGAGAATCTACTCTCTTAATTAATATATTAACGACAAATAATTAATTTTCAAATATTAATTTTTAAATTACTGAATTTATTTAATGATAAATAATTTTTAAAAATATATATTTTGCATTGGTTTAGATTTTTTTATCACTTCGATGTCTGTGCCAAGTACTTTTTTATTTTCTATTTTTTTAAAGGTGGGTCTCACTCCTCATGTTACATGAGAAGTCTCTTCTCCTATCACTCTTACTTCAATGGCCGTGCTAGCTACTTTTTTATTTCCAATTTTTTTAATATGGGCCTCATTCCTTTCTCTTTCAATAGGAAAACTTCATTTTCTTATGCAATGTGAGAAGTTGTAAGCCCTTATACCAATACCAAGGGAAAAAGACTTCTCATATCGCATGAGAAATCTCCTCTCCTAGCACTCTCACTTTGATGTCTATGCCAGCTACTTTTTATTTTTTATTTTTTTCTCAAGGTCGGCTCTACTCCTTTCTCTCTCAATAGGAAAACTTCATCTTCTCGTGCAACATGAAAAGTTGCAAGCCTTTATGCTAAGGGGACAAAATACTCATGTTCCATGAGAACTCTTACTACTCTCATTTCGATGTCCGTATTGGCTACTTTTTTATTTTTTACTTTCTTTCTTTTTCTAGGTGAGTCTCACTCATTTTTCTCTCAAAAAAACTTCATCTTCTCATGAAACATAAGAAGTCACAAGCCGTTATACTAATCATATCAAATATGAAAAAATACATACCAAATAGAGATAGGATATTGTGACACACAAATAAAGTTACGCACAATGTTACGACCAATCATCTTACCGTTCAATTGAAAATCTTATCCGACGGTCCTCGTTGGTCTCATAAATTACCCCTCTTTCATCGTTTCTCTCTCTCCCCCTTCTCTCTCTTTGGTGCGACGGAGGCGGGTGGTGGCGGCGGCGTCGGAGACAGAGGCTAGGGCAGCGGCGGCTACTGTGTATAGTGAGAGAGAGAAATGGAAAAGAGAGAGAAGGGGAGAGAGAGAAACGATGAAAGAGGGGTAATTTATGAGACCAACGAGGACCGTCGGATAAGATTTTCAATTGAACGGTAAGATGATTGATCTTAACATTGTGCGTAACTTTATTTGTGTGTCACAATATCCTATCCCTACTAAATATCCAAATTTTAAAGTTTTTATTAAAATTTAATGTTTAGGGTTTAGATTGTATATAAAAGAATATATAAAATAAATATAATGTTTAGGGTTTAGAAAAATATAAAAGGAAATATAAAAATGTATTATTTGATTATGTATCAGTTTACTTAATTTTAATACTTTAAAAATCAGACAAAAGTCGCTTAAATATTTTAATGCAATTTTTAAAGGGTTTTATAATTCTCATTTAACATGAGAATTCAAATTTTCCTACCCACCCTTCGATTTTCGTGCTGACATGGGTTCTAGATATAATTTTTTCTAACACATGAATCTCACATGTTTTTTATCTCTACAACATGAGAATTGAATTCTCATTTAATATTTTATTATGAGAAAATCAAACCCTATTTTTAAATCATTACTCGATCTGTTAATCATGGAGCATGTGAGAACAGATGAGAGGGCCTAGCATCTGGGAAGCTATTTATGATAACTGTGCTGCCCAATTTTTTTATTTTTTTATTTTTTGGAAATACCCAATCTTTTGTTCCATATTCTGTCCCCACTGGGCTGTATCCTCCATTCTTTATTTTTATTTTAAAAATTTAATGTCCAGAATCCTGATGCTCTTTTACACCAAATAAATAAAGAGGTTAATGTTTTTTATATTATAGGAAATAATTTTATTTCCTAAACATATGTAAAAGTGAGTGGGATCCATGTTATATGAAAAAAAGAGAGAAAAAAATATGAATTCTACATATTTTTATGTGTGTATAAGACATAAATTTTATTTCTTATAAAATGAAAAAAACTAAACCCATAAATAAATAAAAAATGCTTCTTAATCTGACTGTGGGCAAGAACGACCTACTACAAGATATGGCATATCCCAATTTTTTTTGGGTCTGTTTTACCTTGCTTTTTTCGGCGTATTTATTCACATTGCATATTTTTAAAAAATATATATTATTCATACACCAACAAAAGGTATTATTTTGTTAGAAGGGAAATTTTGTGGAATTGCTACTAAAGTCTTCGTATTAACTGTTATGTGGATCATATGTATTGACAAAATTATGACCCTCACTCAAGAAAGAAAAGGAAATGAATTCTGATAATCAGATTTTTATTAATTTCATGATGAATTTTATCAGCATTAGATAGCACCGTTATTTAATCATTTAAATGTCAATTTTTGAATTATTTATTGCGAATAGAACGAAATAAATTTCGTAAAACATACATTGACTGCGTTACTTATAATCATAAAATAACTTTCACTTTATATTTATATATTTATCTTTTTTTTTCTATTGATTAAAAATAAGTTATACCATTTTTTATTAAAAAAAATTATCCATACTAAATAGCGTTGTTCTTCTATGAAATGTCAAATCTATTCAGACCACAGGAAGAAGAACACGTGCTTCAATCCGTGCCACGGAGAGAGTGCCATGTGTTTCAAGTTTTTCAATTAAATAACCTACTTCACTTGATAACGTCATGCATGATGCGCTTCAAATTAATGAAACCCATCACTTGGTGATCTTTACTATGAACAAATACGAAAGTCACCATCATAGTATCTTTCAAAGTTTTAAGAGAAAAGAAGAAAATGGAAGAGAGGAAGTCACTTCGTATTGATTAGATTTTTTTTTTTTTTTTTCTGGCACAGTCGATTGGATATTGAAAAAATAAAATGACAAGAACCCTCTTCACTTCGTGTTGGAATAGGAAAAAAAAAATGAACAAGTAATAAGAATATGTTTTTAATATAATGTCCATGCAGCAATCTTGCAACACAAACATTCAGCAATGGATATAAGGTGAAACTCAAGTTTGAATGCTAACTTCTCGTATCCAAGCTATCTGTGCCCAAGAAATCATTTATTAAAAATATTATCACTCATAGCATAACAACACTAGTTCACTTTTCTCCCTTCTTGCCTGTCCTATACTCTTACCAATGATAGCATAACAACATACAAATGCACTATATTTAAAGGATCCATTATTTTACTTTATCTCTTTTTTTTCTACCACTCTTTAATATTGTTAGATCAGAATCTTAATAGAAGAGAGAAATGATAAATGTAATAAAAAAGCTGTAGGCAAAAATAAACAGAAAAAAAAAGGGTAAAATAACGTATCCCATAATTAAATGAAAAAGGTTGCATTCCTAGGATTGATTTCCACGTTCAAGAAGGCATTGAGTGTCGGGATTCTTGCCCCAAGCTCTCTCCTTCCATAACAACTCCACTTCATCAAAAGTCAATCCTTTGGTTTCTGGAAGAAACACAACTACAAATAGAAAGGCAAGGACAGCTATACCAGCAAGAATCAAGAAAGTAGGACCAGTCCCTGCAGCTTCAGCAACTGATAGAAAGGACTGTGCCACAATCAAATTGGAAACCCAATTCACAGTAGCCGACATGCCTCCACATATTGCTCGGTATTCTTCAGGATATATTTCTGAGTTTACTGTCCATGGCACAGTCCCCATCCCTGGCGAGAAGAAAGCAATATATAGGACCAATCCTAAAACTGCAAGCCATCCATACAAATCATTTGCAGATGATTGGTAAATAAATGATAAGGACAAGATGATCAGAGATACTATGACTCCTCCTAAGCTATATAGGGTCAATTTTTTCCGTCCTGCATGGTCGATGAGGTAAATGCCAAGAATTGTTCCGGCAGCATTCATGCCGGCAACTATGAGAGAGAGGAGAAGAGCTAACTCATTAGAGCGAAAGCCAGCCATTTGGACAATAGTTGGGCTGTAGTACATCACTGTGTTTATACCTGTAAATTGCTGAAAAGCCTGTACAACCATGTAAACCAAGTCATTTACTTTACATTCAAAGCACAGAACCTAATCCTAATATGCTTCCACAATCGAAGTATGGCTTCACCACAAATATATGCATTCAACAACTGGCAACAAGCAAAGAAAAAATGAAAACACCAAGATGACTTATGATGATTCTCTCACTTGAAACAAGCCAGAGATCACACATGACACAATTCGTGCAATGAGAATAAGGCTATGAGGATTTAACTCTATCATAATCACACAGGACAGTCAGCTGAACAATTAGTCTTTACGAATATGTATATCCTGTAAGCTATCTGTGATCAAACAATTCAGTGCTTTGCCAATCAGTCTTAGACAGTAGCTTACACTTCCGCTTAAAATGTTTTAACAAGCCTTTAAGCCTTTAATGTTGAAAGCATACAAGCCACTGGCTACTTACTTATTTAATCATAATTTCAGCTATGCACTCTAGTAATTACTCAATATTGACCCGTAATTCAAGAAAAAATATTTGTTTCTCTTCAAATCTCTAATGACATTCATTGAAAACACCTCATCGTATGCTTAGAAAAAGAAGATTTATGCCCATCAACCTTTTAAAAGGAAGGGGGCATCAACAACAACGGCGTCTATAAATTAACATTTTCTTACCTGCAGTCCAGCTCCAGCAAGGAATGCAAGTCTGATTTCTTTTGATTTAAAAACATCCCAGAATCTGATATCATCCCTTTTGTGACGGTCTTGCTCAGATTGATTAGTAAGTAAAGCAATTTCGTCCTCTAAACGATCTAAGTCATAGATCTTAGCAAGCACAGCAACAGCTTCGTTATTCCTATTCTGCACATCAGGAAAAGAAATTATATTAAACAAATAGCCTTCGAAGGCAAACATAAAAAAATTCTGCGACCTTTATAAAAAGCCATCTGGGGGATTCAGGCAGGAAGAGCATGAGGCAAAACTGAACTACTGCTGGCACACCTGAAACTCCCAGCATCCAACGCCATGTCCCAGGGACCTGCTTGATTAAGAATGTGTGTGGTTAGTGAAGCAATACCCTCAACTTTGAAAAAGGAACAGAATATTTTGAGCTAAAACATTTCCCCTCATATCGAACTCTGCTTTCCCTATTTTCTTTTATGTATATTGGCATTGCAACAGATGGTCACACGTTGATTCCATTAGAAAGTGGATGGGGAAAGCACTAGTTATTTGAAATTGGAGCAAAGTGAAATCAAGAGTGATAAAGTTCAAACCACAAGGTGGAAGAACAATGAAAACAGGCCAAATCACATGGGGGACGTAAAATAAACACTAGTCAAGAACTGAATTCACAATTTTAAATAAGAGGTCTGTGTGGTTTGGGAAACAAGAACAAGGATTTATTTTACAGGAGCTTGTTAAATGGGATATAGAGCAATGCTTGATATTATTGCTACTTAATGAAAAGCAATGAAAAAGTAAAGCATGGAAGATTAACCTGTGTAAAAGCAAGATTTATGAGATAGGAAAGAAACTGTCCACCGGTTATCATAAGCACATTTGTGCTCACTAATGCTCCTCTTATTTCTGATGGCGAAGATTCTGCAATATACACAGGAGCAGTAACAGAAGCTATACCCACGCCCAAACCAACCAAAACACGCCCAAGTATGAGAACATAAGGATCTGGTGCAGCAGCCATGACAATTGCTCCCAGAGCAAAGATAACATCTGCAATGATGGTTGCCTTCTTTCGTCCATAAGCATCATTAATCCAACCACCTGCTGCTGCCCCAACAATTGCACCAGCCACTGCCATGCTGACAATTGTTTCCTGGCAACTCAAATAATTAGAAAGATCCAACCAGGAAAATGTTATTCTGGGTAAAATGCAAATTATCCCCTTGTTGTTTCACCTATATTCAACTTTCATACACAAATTTTATTTTATGACACATAAACCACTATAGGTTGGTTCAGGATGAAAACATAATGTTTTCTATCAACTTCAACGTTTCTTGCACAGGTGAACTGCAGGTGAGACTTCCCTTTCTCTCCAAACCCACCATTGTTGCATCAAGCTGAGGTAGTTTGATAAGGGAACAATAGCAATTTCTCTCTTTCGAGGGAGAGTTCCTCCTCTAACACATGGTTAGCCAAAATATTCGATATCCCATTCATTGTAAAACAGGGTCTTTTATACATCAAAGTTCCTATCAATAACAGAAAGGTAAGCCAAAAAATAAAAAGAGGGCATACAAGCAACACCTCATAACAGAAACAAATACACAAAAGCATAGTCACCTAACAGCCTAATAAGCCACTGCTCTCATCTCACGCACACTGCTCATATGATAAAAATCACTCATCCACTTGGGTTAGGATTTGTTCCTCTTGGTCCACCTGGTCTTGGAACTGATATGATGACCCAACTGATGTTGCTCCAGCCCAATAACCACTTGATCAGTCTCCTCCTCTGGTTGGCCCAGTTCAGTAAAACCATTTGTATCATAGTTCGCACCCTAAATTCCATTGTTGTAATGAGGTTAGTTCGTGTGTGTCCCAAATCTGGCTCATTCTTCGTGTGTGCCCATGTCATCTTCAATTGACAGCAGCAATCACTATATTAAACCAGAATCGTCCTCCTCATATGTGTTTCTTTCAAGTGTCTGCAGAAATAGCAGAAGAACTAGAATGGGTTGGAAAACTGACTTGAGACTTGGTCTTAGCATCTCTCCTTTTTTTTTTCTCAACCTGAATTACCATCCAATTCAACTCCAACTTACCCAGGAACAGATGCAGGATCGAAAGTTTGAGGGTACCAAATAAAAATAGATGAAATATTATAACGCATTTTTAGTCTTTACACTAATAAATTATAATAAAATAGAAAGTTCTAAACGTGCCCACATCCACAAAAATATAGAAAATTAATATTAGCTTTATAACATTTTTCTTTTAAATAGGGAAGAACACAACTTTCTAAACCTTCTTATATGTGGTGGCAGATATAGGTGGAAAAATGGGTCCTTGAACATAACTAGACCCCATTTTTTTTGTCTTGAGAAACATTTTAAGCCAACTCTATATGCATCATTCAGGAGTGTCCTGAGAAACATAACTAGACCCTTTTTTTGTCTAAGTCTACATGGAAGGCATCTTTGTGGTTAGAAAATTGAATATGTTGGCACATCATAGGCAAAGACCTTTTCTTTTCGTAGAAGTCTACCCTTTAGTTGATTAATTTTCCCCATTCTCTCTGCTTCCTTCTAAGGACAAGGAGCACAAAAAAAGCATAGAACATAGTACCACTCGAAAAAAAATAATTGCAATAGCCCTAGAATTAGACACTCTATTATTAGGCATTTCATTATTGACACCACACATATGAATGCGCTTGCAGGAGTGAAGATGAAAACCTATCTTTAGGACCATCATTTTGAATGATAGTTTATCTTATAGACTGAATACAAGTTTGAAGTGTTTAGAATTAATAAAAACAAAATTCTTGCAGTTATGTCAAGCTTTCATGATTTCTAATGGTGGCTTATGTTAACGTTGATTCCATATGCTAGAGAGAACTTTCTTTTATCAGTATACACAAAGGGAGTAGTATTCCTGATTTAATATCTGACTTGAAAAATCATATAGTGTTGATTTCATATCAACATTATCCATGTCAATCTCAACAGTAATGTTTTATTCATTCAGGTCCTTAGTATTCTTGATTAAAATTACCATATATCAAATGATGCAAAATAATCAAAGTGTTCTGCATGCTGCAGAGAAAAGCTTATATGACCATAAACAAGTTATACCTTCAGAGTACAAGAAGAAAATATCAACTTAATAGATTCATTTTATGGCTCAAAGGGTTATTTCCTAGAAAATTACCATTCAATGCATACATGATTGCTCATTTGGATGGATAAACAAGTTGCAACTTGCTTCAAAATCACTTCAAGTGAGAAGAATGGGAATGAAGCAAGGGTAGTGGAGATGGCAAAAAATCTCACACCTAGTCTTTAAGAGGTAAATTCGAAAACAGGCATTGGTGCCGTGCAGGAACCACTAGAGGTTAAAGTTGAGAACTCATCAAGCAACCATAACGACAACAGTCGAGTAGAAAACCACAATCAAATATTATCATTACACCATTGTTAATTTTGCATTGATTATTTTTTTCCTTTTCATTCACCCAAAGGTGAAATACGAAAAACTTAATTAAAATAGTTTGATTAATGAGTGTTGTAAAGATTGAAAGAGGGCAAAAAGGTATATGGTACCTGTAGAAAATGACTTTGTCTGACCACCTCAAAATCATCTTTAATATACAGAAGGGCTCCTGATATAACACCTGCAATTAATAAAGCAAAATTTGCAACATTGAAGTAGAAGTGGTTGATGATGATGATGATGATGATGAAGAATGATGAGTACTAGTAGTAATGTAAATGTAATAATAATAATAATGCATACCATACCAGTGTCGAAGCCAAAGAGCAATCCACCAATGCTAGCGACAGCAGTGAAGCCCAAAATGTAAGGGTTCTTAAAGACGGAGACTTTCCTCTGAGGGTATATGTCCAAATAACCTGAGCTTCCGGGAATGGAGTGTAGAGTAATGGTCATGGTATTGGTGGCAAATGAAACAAACAAGTCACAAGTGAATGTTGAATTCAATGATAAGAGTTATTTATTCCACAAAATAGAGCTTGTACTTGTAACCTTTTAAACTTACAAGGAACAAGACTTGGTTGGTGGGGTGGCCTTCACATAAATTCATATCCACCACAAGTTCAACTGTGGCTACCAATCTGACTCAGCACACAGCTCATATGATACGCATCCACATCACCACTTCTTCGCTCTAATCTATCTTCAATATAAAAATAGATTTCTATTAGTGCACTGCTTAACCACAATATTAAATGAAAATATTTAAGCTGTAACTCAAGTTAAATTTCATGAGATCATTCTTATACTCATACTTCGTATCTTAAAATGTATATGATAAAACTGTAAGGCTCAAAAAATGGGGAATGATTCTATTTTGCTCAATTTGAGAAGTTTTAAGTTTTTTTAGGCAAGAAAAAAATTTGTTTTTTTTTTTTACATAAATTCGTTTCCTTTTTAGTAGACACCAAACAATTGTTTCCCCTAATTATTTAATATTTCCAATTTTAAAGTGTAGCGTAAATATAATTTTCTACTTTATTTTTTCAAGAAATCTAATTAGTATATTGGAAATATAAAAATCATGTTGCAAGAATAGTAATGTAGATTCCCGCAACTATTTTTTAACTATGTACTTTTGGGAATACACAATTAAAAAAAATAACTTTAATATTATAATTATGTACTCTCGGAAGTACATAGTTAAAAAATGAGTTGCAAGATGTTCTGTAATAGGACATCCGATGCACCCTTAGTATATATATTGTATGTAAATTTTACACTAATATTCATTAATATTTTAGCATATTAATATTTATTAAATATTATTTAAAATAAAATTTAAATAATAATAATATATCAAAATATTAATAAAAAATTATTTTACATTAATAATGCTTGTTTTGGTTTATTTTTGTTACAAATAATATGTCGTGTAACATTATATAAGCTAGAGGTATAAAATTAGACTCAAGCCTGCCAGCCATGCTGCAAAGTCCTTAGGGTCTGTTGTGATAGGGGTATTTTTTGGCCCTAACCCTCAAAGTCTTATTATTTAGCGAATTGAGTTAGGGCTAGCCGCGGGCCAAACTTTTTTTTTCACCAGAATTTTTATTATTTAAAAATATAAAAAATATATAAATTTAAATATTTATACATATAAAATAAATTACAAACATAATATAAGTAAAAATAAATTTTTCAGCAGTGATATGTTTTAACAAAGAATTTCAATGCGAATAAGCAAAAATTAAATTTAAAGAAATATAACCCTGTAATATATTATAATTATAAAAAAGATTATTCCCAAAACGACGTCGTTTTGAGTTCACCGGAGATAACTTATCTCCGTTGACTGGAGATATCCTTTACCCTAAAATAAATTACAAACATAATATAAGTAAAAATAAATTTTTCAGCAGTAATATATTTTAACAAAGAATTTCAATGTGAATCAGCAAAAATAAATTTTTCTATTGACGTCTAAGCATGTTACATATCCAAATTTACGTTAAAACATATCGTTGCATGGCAAAAATATTTCCATAAAAAAATCTAGTTTCAGTTTGCAATAGAATTTAACTACAATTCCGTAAAAAAGTTCGATGGAAAATAATATCATCCAAGTTGAAATTTTCGATGGAAATTATTTTCTAAAAAATTGACAAAAAAGATTCCATCAAGAATTTCGAAGGAATTTAATTTTCGCCAAAATTTCACATAATTTTTTTTATTTTCGAAAACTTCCATCACTGATTATGACCGAATCTTTTTTCGTCTCTAATTTCATCTTTATTTTTTTACAGAATTCTATTTTCATCAAAAATTCCATCACAATTTTTGACAACATTTTCTATCGATAATGAAACCTTTTCTAGTAGTGATTGAATATAATAAATAAAATAAAATTTTATGAAATTATAAATTTAAATAGCTCAATGGCTAACCCTAACCCATGAAGCTTTTGGCCATGTTAGTTTTTTGATCCTAATCCACACGGACTAGAACCCAATGGGAGGAATTGGCCCATTGACATTTATAGACTCGGCTCTAAGGTGAAAACTTAAGATGGCCATGTTTTTATTATGCAAAAAGAGAAATGAGATAGAAAAAACATTAAAACAAAACACTTCAATCGTTGTATCACTAAAGCACATACATGACTTCCATAAAGGACACCCTCAAAAAAAAAAAAGGAAGGAAAGAATCTATGTAGTCTGAATATTTAGAACGGACTTAAATTACATTGGTTGCTAAGCATCGTTACCTTTCTCAAATCTTCGAATTAAGAGATTGAAGCTGTATCTTAATATGATTTTATTTGCATTTTGTAGTTTATCAATACCTAGCTAGCCTTAGTTGGGTATTGGTAAACTAAGAAATACAAATAAAATCATGTTAAAATACAACTTCAATCATTTAATTGAGTATTGGTAAACTAAAAAATGCAAATAAAATCATGTTAAAATACAGTTTCAATCTCTTAATCCGGAGACTTGAGAAAGGTTTTGTGTTGATTTTTGGATGAAATTCACTGTTACAGAATACCACTTGAGATGTGGTATTTTGAGATAACTGGGGAAGTGAAAAAACAGGTGCAAAGTTTCTCCCGAACATAGATTTTGCATATTTAAATAAATTTCTCTGGTAATATTTGGGTCAACCAAACAATTTTTTTTACATTTTCCTACCAAACTCACTTTCCAACTATTTCCCTATCAATTACATTTTTCTAGTAAAAAAAAAATTCTCTCAAACCAAACACTACCTAAAGCAATCCAATTCAGAATTCATCGAGCCTAAATGTTCGATGAACAGTTTCTCCTTTTTTGTCTTCAGTATATTTATTTTCATTTGGACAATTTTATTTTTAAAATTTTTAGACTTTTTTTTGTCAATTATGTGATATTTAATATATTTAGTCCTTTTTTTTTCTTATTCTATTTTCTCTTTTTATACATTTATTTTCTTTTTTTCTTATTTTGACACAACACATTTGATTCTCTTTTTTGTATTTTTTCTTCTTTTAGACTACACTGAAAATAAGGAAATATTTTCTCGTCCCCATGATGGCTAATAAGCCATAACTAAAAACTAAGGATCCCTTTCTCCAATCAATACATCTTTTCTTTCTCTTTCATAACTAAAAAATGCTGTCTAACACTGTTGTGTAAGCCATAACTAAAAACTAAAAACTAAAAACTAAAAACTAAGGATCCTTTTCTCCGATCACTACATCCTTTCTTTCTCTTTCATAACTAAAAACTGTTGTGTAAGCCATTGAGTCATACCTGATGATACGCTCGCTGGTTATTGTTGACTTACAAGATTGTCACCATTGTCGTCCTCTCCTTCAGCTTGGCGGCAATTCCAGTGACAACTTTGTCACCTCAAGAAGGCAACACATGGTGTGTTGCACGACCGACTGTAACACATGTGGAGTTACATATATTTTTTGAACTATTTATAGAGGAAGTATTTTGTTTTTTGAACTAATTTTTATTGTAACAATTAGAGTAAATACCATTTTTGGTTCTCAGCAAATTTTACGACGCCCGTTTAAGTCCCTAGCAAATAAAAAGGTCCATCGTGGTCCCTAAAAAATTTAAAATTAACCTATTTAGTTGAAATTTTGGTACCTCACAAATTCAAAAAAGATCCATATTAGTCCCTAAAAGGACTAAAATGGGTCCATCACTACTAGAAAAGTCTAAATTTTCGACGAAATTCATTTTCTCTCGAAAATTTTCGACGGAAAATCAATTCCATTGAAATTATTATATAAAATAAATCAAAAAGAAAATAAATTTATGAATTTTCGACGGAATTCAATTTTCGTCGAAAGTCATTATATAAAATAAATAAAAAAGAAATTATATTTATGAATTTTCGACGGAATTAAATTTCCGTCGAAAACCATTATATAAAAATAAATCAAAAAGAAATTATATTTATGAGTTTTCGACGGAATTCGATTTCCGTCGAAAACCATTATATAAAAATAAATAAATAAAAAATTATATTTATGAAATTTTTCGACGAAATTCGATTTCCGTCGAAAACCATAATACAAAAATAATTCAAAAAGAGATTATATTTATGAATTTTCGACGAAATTCTATTTCCGTCGAAAACCATTATATAAAAATAATAAAAAAGAAATTCAATTTATGAATTTTTTGACGGAATTCTATTTCCGTCGAAAACCATTATATAACAATAATTCAAAAAGAAATTATATTTATGAGTTTTCGACGAAATTCGATTTCCGTCGAAAACCATTATATAAAAATAAATCGCAAAAATTGTATTTATGAATTTTCGACGGAATTCGATTTCCGTCGAAAACCGTTATATAAAAATAAATAAAAACGAAATTCAATTTATGAATTTTTCGACGAAATTCGATTTCCATCGAAAACCATTTTACAAAAATAATTCAAAAAGAGATTATATTTATGAATTTTCGACGGAATTCGATTTCCGTCGAAAACCATTACATAAAATTAAATAAAAAATAAATTCAATTTATGAATTTTTCGACGGAATTCTTTTTCCGTCGAAAACCATTATATAAAATAAATAAATAAAATTCAATTTATGAATTTTTCGACGGAATTCATTTTCCGTCGAAAACCATTATACAAAAATAAATTAAAAAGAAGTTATAATTATGAATTTTTCGACGGAATTCGTTTTGACACCCAAATAAAGAAAATAATAGAGATGAAGAGTAGGAGATATAATAGAGATGATGTGTGTGTGCAGCCTTGTGATGATTTCTTTCTATAATATTATGGTTGCGATGATTTTTGTACTTTTTATTTTGTTTTCTTTTTGTTTCTGGTTCCGTAATAGTTCATTCTCTTGTGCTATCATCATACTTCTAGAAAGATATCCAGAAGGTTATATGTTGAACCATTATTCCTAGCAAATCTAAATATATGTATGTTATTTAGATAATATCATATGAGTGGG